CGCCGGGGCGGTGTCCTGTGTAGCCTGCTCTTGGTGACCCTGCTTCGGCAGGGGGTTGGACTGGGTGACCCACAGAGGTCCCTTCCAACCCTGAACATTCTGGGATTCTGTGATTCTGTGAAGCTAAGCTCCCAGACATGCACTTCTCGTATGTCTAATGGCAAATAGCTCCTAAGGTCTTCTCATTTTTATCCTGCAGCTCCTGCTGATGAGGTCAGGTCTGGGGTGTATTCAGGTCAGGCTGCAGGGCGCATTCAGATCTTCTGATTTAAATCTGCAAAGTTCCACAGGTTGCACGTGACATTTCAAACAGTTGCTAACTGCTTCCGCTTTTGGAAGCACCTAAATGCCCCAAGAGCCCATAGGTTTAAACAAATTACCCTTAAAAATTAACATAAAAAGAGAAAAGATCTATTAAATGCCATAGGCTTTTTTAACTTGAATGCTACTGTGTTAAAAAAATAATAGTCCCTGAAATGAATCATCAAAAGAAAGACACATCAATTGCAGGGAATTTTAATAAGCTGTTCTGTGTATTAAAATGAATCTCAAAGCCAATATTATATTGTGAAATCAGTCACTCTTAATTCTTGCATCTCTGAAAATTTGCTGTGACTCTGAGGCCAAAACCAAATCTGCTGCTTTCTCTGCTTCATGCACAGAAAGTGCAGCCACGGGTTTACGCAGTGACTCAGCTGTAAACACCAACCTGTTGTTCCCAGTTAGTCCCTTCCAGTAGCAAAGCTGGATGAGCAGCCAGGTCCTAGTCATCAGCGGCCTCCGATCTGACATGGAAGCAGCCGGACTCAGGCTGAAGCTAGCAAAACTGCGGCTGGCCCCGTGAGGACAGCTTTTTAGTCAACAAGAGAGGGGATGGCTGAGAGACGGAGGCAAAGCGCGAGCTCCGGGCAGATGTCAGGAAGCACCTGGGAGGGCGGCTCTCGGGTAGGACTTGCTAGCAGCGACCACTGCGCTGCGGCACTCAGCTGCCATGAGAAACCGTGCTTCTGGCTGTGCTGAGGGCGACGGGGAGCTGGCACCTTCAGGGGAGCCAGCTGGAGGGGAGAGGAAGAGGCCTCCCTCCCTTGCTTCCTACCGTTTCTGTGTAAAATCTTGCTTCCACCTCTGGTGAAGGCTCCCGACGGAGTGGTCGTTCCCCAGCCCCACGGAACCTGTGGCCAAGCAGAGGATCGAGAGGACTCTTGGGCCAAGTGGCTGGGCACGGGAGGGGATGAAAGAAGGTGGCTGTGGGGCATCATAAGCACACTTTATCCTATCAGCAAGCTGAAACCATGATTAACTGACAGAATGCAATATAGCATTTTTCATTAGGAAGCTTTACTTTTAGAAACTGTAGCGGTGCATTGAATGCTCCCCCAGGCCATGCCTTGGTAGGCAGCTCCTCAGCCCAAGAGGGACCTTTCATCTTGGGTTTGCTCTTCACTTCTACCACAGGCTCCAGGTATTGTTCCACATCCTGTGTAAATGCAGCCCTTACCTGAAGGTCCCTGCTGATCTCCATCCCTCCCCTGTTGCTCTACGCTCTCCCACAGCACCCAGGACCACGGTGGAAGCTGATGTCCCTGGGGAGGACCCCTCCCTCGTGCCCTCCCTGCACAGTGCACGGACCAGGACGTTGGCAGGGTCACCCTAAGTGACAGGTTACCCTTGGGGTCCCTCTTGGCTGCTGTCAGTTGGATTAGAGCATTTCTGCTCCTCCACCTCTCCCTCACCTCTGGTTGCTCTGTTGTTCATGCCCACCCTTGCCCATTGCTGGGACCTTCTCCCTTTCTGCCTGCTCCTCTGATGGTTTATTTGCCTCCTTAAATGTCTTTCCCCCTTTTTTTCTTTTGCCAGTGTGCACAGACCCTGCCACAGCATGGGGGTGGTTTCATTCCCCCAGGACCTTGCTGCAGCCACACTGGGGGGCAGATTCCTCAGCCAGGGCAGTGTGCTGGGAGCAAGGGGAGCCAGGAGCACCACGCTGAGGGGCTACCTGGAGGGACTGTGCTCTCCTTGCAGAGACGCTTTCTCCGGAGCATCTTCACTTTATTTCCCTGCTCTGGTTCCACACAAATCGGGGCAGGCAGCGTCCCGGCAGGCTTGGCCCCTGCACAGGAGTTCAGGGGAGGTGTGACAGCTCCTCCCAGCCCATGCAGGAGGACAGGCACTGGGGCTACTCCCTCCACACTCCTCTCTCAGCAGGAGGAAATCCCTTCTCGGCTGCATGGACTCAAGGCTGCTCTTTAATGTCAGGCTCTGGCCCCTGGCCAGGAGGCGTGGGTGGCATTTCTATCTCCTCGGTATGGCCATGCAGTCGAGGGTGGGGAGGTTGCTGTGAGCAGGAAGCACCCTATTTCACAGTCCCTGCACTGCTGTTGCACCGTAATAATTTTTGGGGAGCGGGCTGGGGTCTGTAGCAGAAGGGAGAAACCCTGTTTCTCCAAGCAATGGCCCTGCATTGACAGGGAGAGTCACCACAGAGGATGCTCCACATCTTCCATACTACACACTAACTTTCCCCATCAATGCAGGGCAGAGATTTTTTGGGTTAGTACCCACCAAAGCAGTTATTTTGGTAGCCAAAGCTGCCTGTCGTCTTTCTGGCAAAGAGGAGGGCAGGCACCAAACCTATTCTCTGCCTGCTCACTGTCGAAAATGGACATGCATAATTTATCCTACCCAGCTGCTGCTGCGGTACAACTTTAATGCATGCTGATTCGGTTACCAGCAGAGCTGGCAGGGACAGGGCCGATCTGTTAGGAGCTGGCTACAGGTCCCTGAGCCCTTGAAGGTTAGAAAAGGGCAGGTCTGCGCTGGCCCCATCCCTCCCTCCTGCTCACAACGGTTGCCATGTGGTCTGCAGCTCGCAGCGTTTTTTGATGGGATAATCCATGGCTAAACCCTGTGAGTACCAGATGGAGTTCAGGCCTGTTCATTCTCTGTGTTAATAATCCAGAATGTCATTAATTTCTCTTTCTTAAGTGTTGTGGTGGGTTTTAGTTGGTTGTTTTAAAAAAAAAATGTGGTCAGATGATGATGTGAACATGCTATTCTGAGATCCCTATGGAGTTAGCCCGATGCATATTTGATCATCCTCGGATTGCAAGACAGCTCTGCGAGTCCAAGATTTGAAAGCCGAGTTACCGTCTGAGCCAGCACAATGAACAAGAGAAAAGTTATGTTTCAGATGGGAAGGCTGCAGCCCTCAGCTCTGCTTTGCAAATGTGAAACCCTGTAAAAGCCTTTCCTTTCAGATGCTCGCTGCTGAAATCCCACTGCGACAAGCACCTGCTCAACATTAAGCAAACCCTTTACTTAAGCTCGAATGTGCTTTGCTGATCTGGGGTCCACCACTGCACCAGACCTCCGAAGCTAACAGGAGGAAGCAGTGGTGAATCAGTACGGGTAGATGGGAAGGAAAGAGGTGGCTCCCTTGTGATTTAAAGGGATGAGACATGGGGTAGTAAAGGGACAAGAGATCAGCTGTTTTACTCCTCTTCTGACTGAGATCATAAAGATGACGGGGCGAAGCCCGCTGTGGCTGCTGTGGAAGTCGGGGTCACTGGAGGGTTTTGTTTGCGTTCAGCGATGTTGCTGTCTAACCACCCAAGTCTTGGCAGCCCTCGCAGTCCCTCCTGACCTGCTTGCACGTATCCCTAGCACCTCCCAGGGTTGAGAAGTGACTACAACAACCCAGTGCAGTGCCAAGACTTGTTGCTGTGTTGAGCTGAGGACGAGGTAGAACCTGCTAGAGGATCTGAGGACCTCACTGCACAGTGCAGGATCTGGCCTGCAGCATGTATGCGGATGGATGGTCAGGAGCTGGTTCCCAGCATTTCCAGCAAATTCTGGATATTAGCATTCAAGAAATCTGCCTTGATACACTTTGAAGGCATCTTTATGCTTGGTTTGGTTTTATCAGTAGTAGCTGGTTTCTTCTGTTTGCTTTTGCTGCGGGGTTTTTCATTTTGAAGAGGGGCTTGGTGGCTTTGACTCAGGCTGTGCTTGAGGCAGAGAGATGGGTAACCGCTGCCGAGCCCTGCAGGCTTTGGGGACAGCTAGGGCACCCAGCACACTCTGCCTGGTCCCCATGCAGCCCTGTTAAGGAAACCACCACGCAGCAACCTGTGTGGCTCAGCCATCACTCCTCCATCCCTCCTGCCCAGTGGCCCCAGCTCTCTACTAGGGACTCTGCTGCCCAGCAGTGCTTGGGCCAGGTGGGTACAAGTGCCTCGGCCGTATGCTGCCAGTGAAAGGCAGCCTTGATAAAACCTCTACCTTTCCTCGGCAGAGGCTGTCTTCATTACTGTCTGCAGGAGGGATGCTGCAGTCCCACAGGAGGGAGGACCCCCGAG